ATAATCCATGTAAGATTATAAATTAAAAATTTTGAAATCATAAACAGAAAAAAAAAATTCTTGTATTCAAAAATTAAATGGCTTTTTAATTAAACTTTTTTTAACACTGAAACAAAAAATGTATGACCAAAACTTCAATATTTACTCAAGAAAAAATAAAATATTTTCGAAATCAAAAATAAAAGCATTTCTTTTATATTTTAGTACCCGAATACTGTATTAAAAAGTTCATTTATGTATATATAAAAAGTGTTATTTTGCATGTTTTGTGAAAAAAACACCAACAAACGCACATGTATATATATATTACATTACCATTATTCATATAAATTTTTAGGTAAAAGAAATTTGAATTGAAAAAAATTAAAAAAAACAGTCTCTTATGTCCAAAAGACTTCAAATACCGGCCAACGCCTCCAGAAAAACGTAATAAACACACACAAATATTTGAATTAAAAATCAAAAATGCTTAACTAGCTTTCAATGCTTTAAATATTTTGCTTTGTATAATTTAAAAGCTGGCGATTTTTTAATTAAAAGCCTAAAGCCGACACTAAACTAATTTGCGCAGTTGGCCAGATGCTGACAGCTTTTGCAAAAACCTATGTAAAAATAAGAGCAAAAATAAAATAAAAATTAGGCACACAAAAATGAATTATAACAATTTATTTTTTATTTACTTTTTTTTTTTTTGAAGAATTTTCTTTTGTTATATTTACAAAATTTGAAATAAAAAACTTTTGTTTGAGAAAGTCGTTTTTATTTTTTTATTAGTTTTGTTGAAATTATTAAAAAGTACTCTTTATGAATTTTATATTTGTTTATGAAAAAATATTTTTTAGGAACCTTTTTTGGCTTTTATTTTTACTACATTTTTAATTTTTTTTTTAATATATTTTTTTAAATTTTTTTTCCCATATATTTTTTGCACACTTTTGCGATATTTCATTCACCACTTTCAATAGCAATTAATTTTTATCACATTTTCCTTATTTAAATTTTCTTCACTTATCATTTTGTGTGTCTGGCCACTGACCCCTATGATGTTTTTTCCTTTTCATTTACCCATTTAACCAGTATCGGGCAAAATGTTTATGTCAACCAGTCTGGCATGTCGTTGTCTGATTCGCTTTTTTCTAATATATTTTCTACTTTTTTTGCATGCGCAGCAAGCGCACAGACAAATAGGCCAACGCCACCACCTCCAACTTGCAACATGAAGAAAAATTTGTGTGACACCAAATGCAATAAATTGCTAGGCGACACTGGATTTCTATTACATATTTATATATACATATTTACATGCATTTACTCAAATACATATATGTTCTATACATGTTTGTAATGAAAAAAAAAACAATTTTTTTCTCCAAATATTTTTTGTTTGCCCCAAAAAAATTTTTTTTTTTGCTCTGAAAATAAATTTTCCGCATTATTTTATGCAAAAATCTAATTTATTAAATTTATTCCACACTGTTGCTGTTGACTTAGGGCGTGTCGTTGCAATCAGGCTTCATTATTTGTATCCTCAACGGTTTTGTGGCATGCATTTTTGTGGCCTTTCAGCAAGTTTTAAAATTTTCTTTCATTTTTTTATTAAACCAAGTCCATTGTAAGAGCAGGCAGCAGGTTATTTATAAGCCAATGCTGGAGAATGGCAAAAATGCGGTAAGAAAAGGCAAAAAAAGAGATTTAAATATTTTTTGCAGCTCAATCCCTAAAGAGACACATTTTCTGACTTAAAATTTTGCTTAATACTTTGTTCCTAATTGGCGAGGTGCAGACCTATTTAATAAATTTAAATTTTGGTTTTTTTTGCAATTATTTATCTTATTTGTTCCTAAATTTTAGTTTTCCTTCAAAAAAAATTTTTCACGGATTTACTTAATTTTTGGTATTTTGTGTTTTTTTTTATAAATTTTCAGTTTTTTATATATCTTTCAAGTATTTTTTCTTGATTTATTGGTTTTTTGCTATTTTTTACATTTTATTATTATTTTTCTTTTTTCAAAGAAATTTTTTTTCTTATTTCAAGAAAAAAATCGTTTCCTTTTATTGAAATTGTCTTGAGCTTGGTGCCATAAGACTTTTGCTTACGCACACACACACACACACACACACACATTCACTTTGTAGCTCTGACAATGCAATAGGTATCTATAACAGGCGTTGTCGCAGGCGTATGCTCATGTCAATGTAATGTATTAGTTTGCAAATACTTTCTGACAGTTGATAATTTGTGCAGCTTTTCAGTCTCTTTTCACTTTTTTCACGATTATTTTTATTTATTATATTTTCTTGATTTTTTCACATGTCAAAAAATGCATTTTTTCTCTCTTGAATGGAAAGTTCGTCGCTTAAGTCTTTTGTGTAAGGAAAAAATGAATGAAAATAATGGAACTTAATTATGCATTCTAGTGAAGGCTAAAATCTAATAAAATAATAAAAAAATAAATGAAAATAATACTAAATTTAACAGAATATTATTTCTCATTTTTTTTTCAAATTTGCTTAATAATATGCTAATAAAATATTTAATAAAAAAATCTCTGAAAAAAATTAAAAATAAATAAATAGATTTATTCTTCAAAGAATAGAAATACCTTTGAGAATTTTTTGATACAACGTTAAAATTTAAAAAAAATTGTTAAATTTAACTTTTAAATCAAGTTCAAATTGAAACAGAAAAAAAGAGTAAAAAATTCAATAAGCAATAAAAAATTTAAATAAATAAAAATATGAAAAAAGAAAAAAATTCAATACTAAAAAATTTTAATTAAAATAAACGAAAGAAAAAATAAAAAAAAAATTAAATAAACAGTTAAAAATATATTTCCGTTGAAATTCAGTAGTTTTTAAAATATAACCAACAACAATAAAAACTTCGACGCCAAGTAAGACATAAAAGTCACTATAAAAATCAAAAGTAATGCCAGAATTGTAAATTGTAATAAATATATGTGCCGCCAAAAAAAGATTAAAATTTTCCCAAAAATTCTGTACAGTCATGGCATGCCTTCAGCCTTTCGCTTTTGTCTGCTGCTGCTTAATCATCTGCCTATTAGCAAGAGCAAAAATAAAAAAATACAAAAAAAGTAAATGATTTACTTACTGTATTGTATTTTGCCATATAAATTGACAAAAATTTACAATTTAACGCAGTTGTTGTAGGTGTGCACAATTGTGCTACCATAAAAAGCGTCCTGAGTGCATAAATGAGTAAGGGAGTGTGATGGTGTGTGTGTGTGTTTGGGAATGCGGAAGGTGGCAGTATTTTTAAAGTTCATTTGCCTTACATACGAGGAGTACATCGGCTGGGCAGACAATGCGCTATGTGTGTGTAAATGACAATGCGGGAATTTTATACAGTTGACAACAAAAAAAATACATGAACATATAATAAATTCAAAAAAAAAATTATGAAGAGCGTTTAAAAAATAATAATTAAAAATTATATTAAGTAAAAAATTTGCGAAAATCTGAAAATGGCTTTATTACTCAGGCACTTACTTGTAGCTTAATATAGCGGTAAATAATTGTTTAAAAACTAATTTTTATTATATTTTGACTGAAAAATGTTTATGAAATTATTTATTATTATTTTATGATTTTTGTTTTATTATAAAAATTATATATATATATATTTCATGGTACTAATGCAAAAAATGGTAAAAAAAATGAGTTTTGAACAATTCTTGTAGTGAAATTAATCATCTTATTTAACGAAAAGTTAACTTCATTCATTTTTTATAATAATAAAACCATAATTTTATTTTATTAATAATTTTTTTAAAGGCTTTATTCCATACTAAAACAATTTCCGACCTACAAAAAAATATTTTCAAAGAAAAATTACCAAGTCACTGCAAAAATGGTAAAAAAATGAATTTTTTACAATTCTTGTAGTGAAATTAATCATCTTATATAATGAAAAGTTAGCTTCATTCAATTTTTTTTTAATAATATAACCATAATTTTATTCAAAAAAATATTTTCAAAGAAAAATTACCAATTCACTGCGGCCCATCCACTTTACAATGACAACTAATTTAATTGACTTACATATCTATTATATTCATACCATCGTATACCAAATGTTTAACGGAACTAGCTCAAAATGCTACACAATGCACGCGATACAATCATTTATATATATTTTTTTTTTAAATTAATTTTCATTTTTATTCCTTCAAAGAATTATAACCGCACTCAATTCAGGGTTGAAATTCCAACATTGACAACTTAATAACAGTTATCATGAATTGAAGAAATGATATATTTCTTAAGGCAGTTTTTCTCAGCAAAAGCACGTTAAATTTATTAAGCTGGTTTTGGTCTTTTGGATTTTTTGTACATATATATATTTTTTTTTCTCTATATTTTTTATATCTCTTTTTGGATATTTTGATTTTTTCTTTACTACTTTTTTATATTTCTTATTTATTTTTTTTTTATATTTTTTTTATTATTTTTTTTTACAAAAATTCAAATTTGTTAAAACGCATAATTATGCATGCATAAAAATACATATAATAAAATCAAATGCATTTAAGCACATTCAAGGTGCATGAATATAAAATTTCATGGTCAAGTTCAAAGGTTTTTAAATAAGAATATGTAAAAAGAGCTAATAATAGACACTGAAATTGAGTTAATTTAGACATTTGAAATAAAAATAATAATTATTCATAATTAAAGATATAACAAATTTTAAATTAAATTTTTTTAAGCATTTCTTTTTATTTTTTTGTTTATTAATTTTTATTATATGTATTTAATTAGTTTATTTATTATAATAATTTTTTAAATAATTTTGTTTTTTATTTATTTATATAATTTACTTATTTTAATATTTATTTCATTTATTTACACATATTTAATTAACTAGTATTTTATTATTATTATTTTTATTTTATAAATAATACTATTATTTAATTTTTCATTAAAATTATATATTTTTATACTAAATCACTCATTTTCATTTCTCTTTCGTTCCATAGGAGGGCAGTATCGGTCATGAAATGGTTATAAAACCCCTGCCACATGAGCTCAGTCCAAATCCGGATGCCGCACATCACGTTGTGTATAAACGTGAAGCACAGCCACTAGAACACTTGAGCGATTTCGGTGAGTAAAATGAAACATATAAATAAAACCACTTACAACAACGATGGAATAAGAAATAATTGCATAATAGTAAATTAACTATGAAAAATGCTCTGCCTAACCGCACTTTTTATTACACAAAAACGTGTGCAGCTCCGTTTAGTCATATGTCAGTTATACATCTTTTTTTCGCTCATCGATTTTTATCGATTACTGCCCGCAAAGTACTAGTACTAGATAACCTTCAGTTAACAGGCTTGCGCAAGTCAATTGCCTTTGATTGCCTTTCATAAAACACGAAAAAGCAAAAGTAATAATAACAACAAAAGTAACAAAGTACAACAAAAAATATAAAGTACTCGATAACGCAGCACTAAAAGTTGGAAAAAAAATAAAAATATTTTTTTAGCGATTTTTCCATGTATGCTAATGAACTGCTAAAATTTTTATGATTATCAAAATTATCAATAACTACCAGTTGAACTGCCGAAAAAAATGCATTTCCAAAAAAAAAATGTTTTTTGTTAGTTTTTTTTTTTTTTGTTAAACAATATTATTATTGATACATTTAAAATTCGTGTGCCCGTGTAAAATATTTTTTAAGTGACAACTTAATGTTTATAGTTCATTAAAAGTTCGACTACCGTACAGAAAAGGCGGAAATTTACGAAAATAATTGAGTTGACGCCGTGATGCTCATAAGAGCTCGATTGGAAATACATTTAAAATTGAAATTAAAACATTAATAAAAAAGGGAAATGGTCACCTTATGTAAAACTATAACAGAAACATTTGATGCCTTGTTCATAGTTATTGTAGCTCATTACCCGTACAAAAAAAATGTATTATCAGCAACACTGTACTAAAACATTTCACCTAACCAATTAACCTTTATGCCACAAAACTCATTAATTTTGCCTTTGCCATCTTAATTAAAAATTTTCCTTGCTTTTCTTGCTGTTATAGCTTTTATGGAACCCGATGATTTGGCTGCCAGTGAGAAACTTGAACGTTTACAACAACAACATCGTCAACGTCGCTCAGCACCAGTTGACGATGATGAAGCAGTTATGGAGGATACGGATGCGGATGGCGAATTAGAGTCAGCGGAAGCGAGATATTCACGTAATAGACGTCAATTGCCCTATATTATCTATCCTGAAGTGTTGTTAATCATCGATTATGATGGTTATCGATTACATGGTGGTGATAATTTGCAAGTAAGTTGAACGTTTATGTTTTGAAAATGGAATTGAAAAAGATGCAGGAATTGAAATAATATGTAGGCAAAAATCTAAAAGAAAATTTCCCTTACACCAACTCAAAAGCATGCCTTTCTACATATATAAACGCATATTAACTACTTTACTATTTTATTTTGGGCAACCACACCTTTGCCAGAAATAATTCCTACACGTCTTTCCATCTTTTGCATGCTACTTTTAACAATTTCGCTAAAATTCCTTTATGATTATATCAAAATTTCCAAGTATGCAATTACTTAATCCACGACATTGGTACATCCAAGGCACAATTTATTATTTTACTCTTTCGACAGCATTTCTTCAAGAGTTCTATGCCATAAATTTGCGCTACGTGTACTCCCACAGACGAATCTCTTACATTATCACTTTTTCATAAATCAAATCTGACTAGCGTTCTGTCGGCGCTTGTCAGTTGCGCTAACTACATGCATTAAAAGCTTGAGCACGCATGCCATGGCTTGCGAGATTTAAGATTTGTGTGGTAGTAAAATTTTTTTTGTTGTTTTGAATGTTCTTAAAAACTTAAAAAGCATACAGATTTCTGTCCAAGACATATTCCACTTCTGAAGTAATTATTTTTTGCAACTTCTTTTCATTTTTATAGCCATTTTTTTTTTTAAATACTTTTTATTTTATTTTTTACAATATTTATCACTTTGTTGCTAATTGTTATGATTTTTTTCTGTTTAATTTTTTTAGTTTTGTTATTATTTTTTAAATCTTTTATTTTTATCCAAAATATTTACCACTTTGCTTCTCCTTTATTTTCTTTTTTGAAGGTATACAAAATATTTACCACCTTGCTGCTTACTTTTCTTCTTTTCTTCTCTTTTTTGAAGTTATACAATATATTTATTTTTATTATATTTTTTTTTTTGTTTTTAACTTAGGTAAAACGCTACTTTGTATCATTCTGGAACGGCGTTGATTTGCGCTATCGCTTACTCAAAGGTCCAAGAATCCGCATCAGTATTGCTGGCATCATTATTTCGCGGGTGAGTAGAATGGAAATATATAAAACGAATAATATAAACGAATTAATTGAGGAATATGATTATAATTACTTACCTTTCAATTGAGTTAATTAAGTAAATTGATTGTGTATCAGCGGTCACGATTGGGATTTGCTAAGAGATCTTATATTGTGATGTCCCCTTGACGAAAGAACCAAAACGTGAATTTAATTTGTTATTGTAGTTTCATATATGTAGCATAATAGCAAAAAAGTGTTTGATTAATTGACGCTCGAATTAATTTACTTTGCTTTTCTACAACTTGCGAACAGTTAGTTCTTTATCTTTTCTTGCCAAAATAGCGCACCTGCAATTAAGTCTACATTTAGCTAGTAAATATAAATATATTGATTGTATAAGCAAGTTATTGAAGAAATAATTTAATTTAAAAATCATAAATTTTCTTGGCTTTAACTTTTTTCGTTTTCCTTACAAACACTTATATACGTTCGTATTACGAATTATGAGTTAACAACTAGCGCGGCACTTGACCAACAAAAAAATATATATATTAATAAATAATAACACAATAATATGAGAGCAAAGTAGTGCACAACAAAAACTGACTAAAAATAATTGCTGCGCAAAAGCAAAATACAAACGCAACCATTTAAACGGAAAGCAATAAGTAAGAAAAAAAATTTATATAGTTTAATACAACTACTAACAAATTATATGTTGCCAACAAACTCTGATAGCATTGGCGATGCCGGTGAACTCCTTAAAGTAACAACGAAAAATGTTAGTATTGCTTTTAGTTATCATTTTGATTTTAAAAGCAAACTGAAATGTATTAAATAGCAAAAAAATTTGCAGCACATTGAATTTTCTTGCCTGCCGTTATAACAACACATGCTTTGTTTCGATAAATGCTAGATGGTTAGTGTAATCGATAAGCGCTACTTCAGCATTAGGCGGCGTATGCACGTTGCTATTGTATGCAAAAAAAAAAAGTATAGACTTTATTAAATTGCGTAACTTTGCTGCATAAAAATACAGTTTTCAACTAAAATTATAATAATTTTTAATTATTTTTAAAATTACCGTAATTTTCATAACATTTTCTTTTGGCAGTATTTTTTATTTTTGTGTTTTTTTCACGCCACTTGAGTTATTATCCACTGATTTGTGTTCACTTAAAGTGGTATTTTACATATAATAATCGTTGTGTTGGCCAACAAAATTGACAGCGTTGCCAGGTTTAAGAAGTTTTATAGCAGTTAAGCCATTAGCGTTAGCTATTAAAACTCTAGCAAAATCGCTTGTTTTGAAAGCATTATGTTTATTTGGTTTTTAATTCATTTGGAAAATAGTGTTTTTTTTGCTATTAAAGCAAAATAACAGCAATAATTAAGCAAAATTAAACCAAAATTAAAACATAAAATTAAAATTTTACTTGCTTAACACATTTGCTGCATGTATTTTTTACTAGCCAAATGGCATATCAATAATTTTATCACCCTTTTAAACAAATTAAAAACGAATTTTACCACGAAAGCGATAAGCGTTTTTATTTATTTATTTTTTGCTTTAGCTTTTTCAATGCATTTAAAGCATTTCAAACGCCTTAATGTCAACCGTATGTTGTCAACTGCCAAATATTACGCCATCAAAATTACTAATAACACTGTTATCTCATACACAAACGACAAAACTAACTTTAAAAAAAAAAATTAAAAAATATGCTTAAATAAAAAATAAAAGTGTGAAAAATGTGGCAGAAAAGTGTAGCATTTTCGCAAATCTCACAACATGTCGCATATGGCAGCTGCGCGGGTACCAACAAGTAGCAAGCTGCTTACCTTCCCAACAATTTTCGCGCTACTGTTTGAGTTGCAATGCATTTTTACTTGCTACTTATTTATCTATTTGGTACATTTTTATTTATATTTTTTTTCTATTTTTTCTATGCGCTTTTTACTATTTTGATTTATTGACATTTGATAAAATGATTGTTTGTACGCATTTATGCGTTGGACGTTGAACAAATGGTTTGACGCTTGATTGCAACATACATGTACGCAACGGCAGCAGTAATGTATTAATGTCGATAACTTGTTTAAAAGCTTGACTGAGTGTATTAATCGATTTTTCTCGTTTTTCATTAATTTCTAACACATTTGCTAACTTAACCCGTGGACTATAGCTTGCATATACTTAGTTTAAGAAAAAAACAATTTTTTAATTAATTGCAATTGTTGTATAATAGCATACGCCCATTAAATAGATTTTCTGTTCTTAAAAAAAAAAAATAGCGCAAGCATGCGTAACACAGCGCGGCGCGCTTTAATTTACTCAACTGGCAATGGCAAATCGTTGTTGTGCTGACCAAAAATTTATTACGCATGTAAGCAATCTGAGTGGTAGCTTACAGCAATTACGAGTCATTTATTTGTATGTTTCATAGAATTTTTTTTTTCCAAATTAAATGTAATCAGAGGCTTAGTTTCAAAATAAAGACCAAGAACTTTGCGGAAATTCAAGTTTTAACAATTAATTTGGTTGAAAGTGGCACAATTAAGTATTAATTGAGCGCTAGTTGTTGTAAAAAATAAAGAATTTAATAAAAAGTGAAAGGTGGTTACATTGTTTTGTTTTTTTTTTTTTCATTGAATTTCAGTTTAACTCACAGGTTTCATTTTTGTTCAGTATACGCAATTGCAGTGTTTCATAAGTTCATTAAAAGAAACTTCCTTATTGCACGATTTCAGGCGTTTCACGTGTTCAGTAAATGAAACTTCATTATTTTGCAATCTCAAGCGTTCCACTTGTTCAGTGCGCGCAATTGCAAAGTTTCACAAGTTCAGAAACTCTACTTATGATTTATTGCTATATGTATAATTTCAAGCGTTCCACTTGTTCAGCTTCTAAATTCTATTCTCAACTCTATTGGCATTTAATCTTTAGCATTCATTTCGATACTGCAATTTACGCAACTTTGTGTGAAAAACTAACGTTAGTTTTTTTGCTGCACATCTTCGAAGACGATTTTGAACGACATTTTTTAACAAAAAATTGCATTAGCTCCCAACCAATTTTGGGCAGTTTCACAAATGTTGTCAATTATGACAATATTTTAATTAATTATATTCTCTTCACTATACACTAAATTACACCAATATAAAAGAATGTCATCTTGAAATTTAGTAATCATGTCCAAAAATCAAAAAAAAAAAAAACTCATTTAGTACATCCACCAAAGCAACTTTCAATAATTGCACAATAATACACACAAGAGACACGCAATTGTCAATGGTCGATTTGTCAACTAAAATGTATTTAGCGATTGTAAATTAAAATAAATATTTCGAAATACAAGTATTACTAAATATGGCTAATTTGCAATGCCTCTCTGATTTCAATAACTCCAAGCAACAAACAAATGAAGACACAATTAAACATGTAGCTGGTGGCTGGTAGCTGGTAGCAGATATTAACAAGAAAATGAAGTAGAAGAAGTAAAAGAAAAAGAAGCAGTAAAAAACACAGCTATAAACAAAGCAGCAACTTCAATTGAAGGTCATGCCATGCCATGCTGGACTGTAAGTATGTATTGGCAGCCAAGCGGTAGCGCATCACTCTCGCTTGCAATTTGGTCACGCTCGCTTGACTGGGCCACCTACTTAAGTTGTAATGTTGTTAACATTGTTGCGTTGTGTTTGTAGCATGCAACGCACATGCACACACACACACACCTCCAACGACCGTTAATTCTTTACCAACAGATGCACAACTGTACAATTGACGCAAAATCAAAGGCACATCTTCACAGCAAGTTGGCAAACTGGCTGTCAAACAGCTTTAATGCTTGACAAAGTGCTTGATTGTAGTGATGATGATGATGAGGCATATTTTTGACTGACCACTTAAATATGAATTGCGAAAATTCTACTTATGTCGCTTAGCAGTAAATAAGTTATAAAAAGAAACTGCCCAGGAGGGCGGGGGGGGGGGGGATAAAAGGCTTGTGCTAGTTTTACTGCATCTGGGCGTCTAGACGCTTGGTGATTTCACAATTCGCTAGCCAATGTACACGTGAATATGCTATTTTTTTCTTTAGTATTGTAAAACATAAACTTTTTGAGGTCAAAAATTCTTAAAAAGTGCATATTATTTATTTATTATTTTATTATAATTTTTTTTTCTGTTGCTCGCAAACACCCTGTGGCCAGCAGCTGCTATTTTATTACTAAATTGCTTGATTGGTCGACCGCACTGTTGGTGTTTCTTAATTAATTCACGCATATGCAATTAAGAACATGCGTGTTTGCGCTTGAGTTGTTGTCATTAATACGCCTCGTTTTTTTCGTTTTATAATCGTCTAAACCTCAAGCGGTTCCAATTAAATGTTTTTAATTGGTAATATTTATACGGTTTTTGTGCTTGCATAAGACGGCGGCTAGGAGGTGTATTTTCCAAAATCCGCGCTTATAGATTTTTACTGCAATTTATATTGTATATTTGCAGTTGCTTTTGTTTTAGCTGTAGAAGAAACTAAAATTTAATTTTCCAATTTTTTGGAAAATTTTTATTTGGAAACTTCTAACCTCAAAATGACGACACTGAGTCCTTCTATGTGACGTGGTAGTAACTTTTTTCTTTTTATTTCATTTAATTAGGGTATTGAAGCTTGCGAAAATATATATATACTCACAAAAAATTTAGATTTTTTTATAACTTAACTAAAATCAGAAATTCAACTGCTTTGATGAATAATTAATGTTCTTTATATATAATATTATAGCAACATAATTTTTATAAACTATCTTACCTCGAATTTATAGTCATATATTCTTCAAATTATCGTTTTTGTAGTCACATTCTTCAATTTTTTCTTTTTATATTATTTATTTTCAAAAAAGCTGAATAAATATTGTGCATAAATTTTAAATATCTGCCTTGCAACCACCGAAACTTTGTTACATTACCACATCCTGCAAATATGGGGCAATTTAAAACTTGATCGGCAATTAAAATTCTTTTTAGTTTCCTGATTTTTCTGAAATTATTTTTCTGCTGCTCAAATGTAGTTTCATGAATAACAATTTAATAAACTGCAATATTTTTAATTTTTATCCGTTTTTATTTTTTTTATTTTGTATTACTGTTTTTTTTTTGTTTTGCGGTACTAATCCCCAAATGCCAGTCATTTTCCAGCAACTCAACTCAACTTCATATTACTTCAAATTGCTTAATTGGCATTTTACATAATTTTCGATACGAGTATATTTGTCAAAGTATTGCGTCAAAGCCATACGCCGGTTAAACGAACATAAACATGTATACCTATAATACACTCAACTGCATGCCCATACAAATTAATGCCAACTGCAGTGATACACCGTAGCGGTAAATATAAAAAAAAAATCCCAACAACGCGCCGACGTATATCCGCATATTCCTACAGTTGGTAGAGTAAGAGAGTGTATGGTGAGTATGGGGGGGACATATGTATGGCTTAGTGTGACGTTAACTTTGAATTTAATAAATGAATTTGCAGATATATTACACTACATGCGCACACAAACACATGGCACATAGCGCGGATATAATTTTTTACAATTTTTATAGCATAACACATACACGCACACAAACAAGTACACGCCTCTCTATTTAGTGTCCCAAAACTATAACAGTGGTGACTGGTTTACCGGTTTACTTTCGCAAGTCCCAATTGACAAACAGAATTCACGCCTTTGACAACCGTCACAAAAACGTGTGATTTACTTATTTTTGGCTATATACGCGTATATATATTTTTGTTTTTTTTTTTTCGTTCTCTTATAATTTTGTTGTCATTTTGTTTTTATTTGCTTGGGGTTTGGTCATTGGCACACTAATCACAGTTGATTTCCTTAAGGAGCAGTAAATGCAATGTTGCTGGTTTTGTGCGCAATTTTCCATTTCGCTTGCAAGTCTGCATTTATTTTTGTGTACATATAAATGCCTGTGTGTGTGTGTGTGTTTTTTTTTGTATAATCACATGTGAAGCCACCAATGATTTATTGACTGCTGTTTATATTAATTTTCAGCGCTTAGTATATGTGGTACTTTGCTTAAGTCATTTTAAACTTCACATATTTAATTTATTTTCGTATGAATTAGATTTGCGCAAATTTGCTTATAGTCGGCAATAAATCTTGACGACTGTCAATTGGCGTGCGTGTGTACTTCGCATGGACTTAAAGGAAACTCCATTGCAAATGATTTGTGTAGATTGTTGGAAAAGTTGTATGTTTGCATATACATACATATATAATACATATGTGGACACCACTTGTGCTATATATATTTATTTATATATGTATGTAAGTTAGTCAACTTATAAGCCCACGCGCGCCGTTAATTTTGAATTTATTTCGTTGCTATTGCGACACATATTTAGCAAGCCAATTCAATTGCCGTTATTCTTTTTCCACAACATACCTATGTACATATCTACATATTTGCTGATGTTGTCTTTATCCTTAAAATAAATAAATTTTTACAAAATATTTGTCTATATTTGCAATATCTTATCGCCTTTATGCATGATGGCGGCAGCTTTTCGGCCATACATGCCATAACGTACACGATATATGTATTACATTATTTGCTGTTCGTGCAGCATTTCATTGGTGGTGGCAATGCCACCTACAATTGTTACACATAAAAATTCATACATATAGTTAGCATATATTTAAAAGTTTAGCTTGCACTTTTCCCCAACCAACCACACTATGTGTTGCAGTGTTTGCATAATGGTCAATAATACGCCCACACGCGCGTCTGACAACAATATGATTGTACCTTCGTGCACAACAATATCGGTGCCGTCCGTCTGGCTATTTGTTTGTCAGCCTGCCATGTTACACAATGGTACACCACAATTGGGGTGTGATGGTGGTGAGGTCAAGCTTTTAAATGTTGCTCTGTTTGAAAAAGTCTTTTCCTTCTATCGGCGTTTGCAGAAAAAATTGCATTTTTAACAACTACTTTTCCAGCGTTTACGTGCTACCAACTGATATTGAATGTATGTATCATTTCAGTTTGGCATATCTGGCATAACATAGAAAATTTATTTCTTTTGCCGCATTCAACATGTCACCACCGACAGCGTCGTTTATGAAAATATATATGTATGTATATGTACGTTTGCTCGATTTTGCATGTTTTGCTTATTTCGAGAGTATTTTTTCCTTTTCCGAAGTCCTTATCTTAGGTCTTTGAGTGCAATAGAGCAATAATTTATTTTATGCAACACCTGGCTGTTGGTTGATAAACAGCGGGTGTTTATTTTTGAAAATTTATGCATTTCTTTCTCGCTATCAATAAAAACAATCCAAAAGTTTGAATTGGTATTTACGGCTGCTGCGAGCTTTGTTAGAAATATGTGTAATTTTTCTTTTTATTTCATTTATTCGGTGACGCCAAAAAGCTTTTTATTACTCAGCCAGTTTTAACATATTTGGATGATCTGGAAAAGGAACAAAAAATGATGATATGAGCACACAAAATGTTTTTTTTTTTTTTAAATAAAATTATTTAAAACCTGTGTTACATTACATATCCTCCTTACACGCTCCACGGTTACTTAGTTAGTTGCACGCCTTCCTTAATTGTTGTGTATTTTTTCTTTTTATTACTTTTATTTTGTGAATCGTCGAGGGAGTGACACTACTTGGACGGATAAAAATCCAGTTGGTTTCGTTGAAAGACCCGACTGTTGCGGGAACTTTTAGATTTTAGTTGCTTCTTACGTGGAAAAATTCTTGAACCTCTCCCCCGCGGTGATAAACGTGTCTTACAGTTGTATTCTGTGCTTATTAAATATTGCTGAAAATAAATTGTTAAATATTTACTTAAAATAAAATAGAAGAACTTATAATATTAAAGCCACTTACTTTTGCTATAAAATGCTCAAAACTTCTTTTTAATTCGTATTGCCAAAATTAGCAGTCTTCTTCACATTCTTACTCCTAAGGCAGTGTTCCATCTCTCTTCTCACACACTTCAAGTAATAACAAGCACTATATTTGGCTTTTCGCGCTCGCTTAATCATTCGGCGCATGTGTTTCTTCATCTTTTCCAGCGCACATGTTTGGTTTTTTAAATTTTCGTAATTGCAAATTTATATTTGGACTGCGAATGAAAAAGTTTTATACAATTTTGTTTTAATAGTAGTAATAATTTTTCAGAAACATAAATAAAACAGTAAAAAATTCAAAGTAAATAAAAGAAAATACGTATGCAAGAGCCGACTTAGCTACCAATTGTCAATATTCACAAATAATGCCAGTTCCAAGAGCTTTTTACACATTAAATATTCCAAAACAATAAAGCCGGCTGTTTCTTGAACATCAATGAATGGAACACGAATACTGAAAATAGAAATTAAAAGGAAGTTATGAAAACAAAATGAAAATGTAGTAAAGATGACAGAAACTTTAAACAGCTGTTGTGCTAATTATGTAACGATAATCGATAACTTTGATATTTATTATGTAGTTAAAGGTGTGAAACACTATTTCATGATTTAAAAATACAAAGATATGAATTTGTAAATTATTTTTTCAACTCATTAAAAATATTTCCTTAATACATCTTTTTAACTCATTGCTCTCTGGCGTGCCTGCTGAAAGAACTTTCACGACTTGCATGCGAATTTCCATATTTACATACATGAATTTTTTAATGACCAAATCAGTGGATCACAAATCAATATGAGCATCAATATGGTGTACGTTATGCACTTGTCAATTATTGAATTATAATAAAATTTTGGTTATAAAAATCGTATCAAGGACACATTGGTATGGTTATTAATTTTGGAGAGAATCGTGCTACAATCAATGTTATTGAATTTCAATACGTGATTGTATTGAAGAATTTACGTTTACATAAGAAGGAATGGAGTATAGAAAAAAAAAAAACATAAAAATTATTGACATTTCATTATTGACAGCCGATGGAGAATGTATACATATAGGTATTTATTTTTTTGGTAATCAATATTCAGTACATCAAACAAGTGCATCACTTGAAGGTAAAGCTATGGCAGACTACCACAGCCATATAAATTTTTGAATTTTCATTTATCTCAACTTACCAATTATTTTTCTTCCTCTACTCATTGCCTTCATCCGACTCACGTTTTATAATAAACCAAAAATATTTTTTTTTTACAATTATTTACGAACCATTAAGTGTCAGCATATGCATAACTTTTGCTCCTCATCTATCAAGAATTGCAGCAGCATTCAATGATAACTTCTACACTCAACGTGCTTGCAACATTTTCACGCTTCACCGTTAAGTGTTCACCTTCAATATGACGCCACTGCATTACAATTGCATTCAAATTTCAATTTCAAGTGGTGTAAAACTAGTTCAAATGCTTATGCTAAGTGCTTGGGGTACCTTGTGAAGCTATTGCTGCGGCTGTTTCTCGTCTGTAACGACTTTGACTTTGTTGTATCTGCATTGCCTGGGTTGCCAAATGTTGCAATAATCTTCACTGACAAACACATGGCCGCTTTGTTAACCAAAAATAAAAAATAAAAAAAAACAAATAAAAATAGAGAAAAAATTTATAAAAATGAGGAAAAACTAAAGAAAAAAATGTAGAAAAATTGAAAATAATGTAGCAAAAAAATAATAATGTTACCCCCAGTAGCATCACTGTCAGTACAACAAAAAATAAATAAAAACTCCAAGCGAATCACGTTTCCGCACAGCTTGGCCACTAATCACAGTAAATATATTTATATATATGCATATTCACACAATAGTTAACACTCAGCTGTTGCCAGCAGCTGTTATTGCATTTTCTTTTCTCTTCATTTTGTTTAAACTCCATTTTACTACGCGTATAACTGCAACGTTGCAACGGAAATATGTTTCCGTTTTATGTTTACCTAGCAAATGCAAATGATCAGCTGTAGTAAATTTCAATTGTGCTGCTACTAGACAATTGTAAGGCCATTTACACACGAGTATGTACACACATACATGTGATGCTGTGTTTCCTATAGCTTCAGCTTCATCTTCATATTCTTCTTCTTCTGCTTATACTGCATACCACCGTTACCTATTGGTATTATTGGCTTTTCAACTATTGACTCAATAGTTTGTGTTTCTATTTTGTTTTTTTACTTTATTTTATTTTTTGTTTTTGTTTTTTTTTTTGTCGGCTACTTTATCGCTTAGACGTCTATTACTTTGCTGACGCAACACATATGCACTTAATGACAGCCGCAACAGTGTAACGGCAGTCAACGCGAATGCCAACCACATTTTTCCTTTTGCTGTGCCTTGATTGCTTATTTCGTTGAACAATTTTAACATTTCGATTGCATAATAATACTAATATTTGTTTTTAAAGGTTAGTAAATTACTATATAACAACTTCGTTTCACATATGTACATACTCGTATGTATGTGTTTATCACAACTGGCCGGCAGTTTCAGTTGAAGATTCCACTTTGGTAAATAGCAAACATTTTCGCAAGTCAAAGTAAAATTAATGCAAACTCACTGTATTAGTCTTCCTTCCTCTTTTTCGTTTCAATTGCCATCGTTGGTTTTGCACATTTCTATAGCTGCTGGCGAGAATTCGCCTCCATTAGCTGTTGGCATGAAAAGGTTAAACGTGATCCAACAGTTGATTGTGGCAAATGATTTTCTGTGTCTGTGACTTCTTCACTTTTTATTACTGCTTTTGTTTCGTTTTTGTTTATTAATCCGTTTTTCATGCATACTCGTACGTACATGCATAGATTTTCGTGCTTATTTTTCGGGGTGTAATTGCAAAGTCGTACTTAAAGGGCAAAAGGTTGCCATAACAGGTGCAGCTTTTTATAGCGAATGCACTTATTTATTTATTAAATTCATTTATGTATTTTGACAATTTGCAAATTGTTTAGTTTCTTTTACTAAATTACTTAAATTTCCCTTCAGCGAAATAAATTGTGCACAACATTTGTTTGGTTTCGCGCATTTAGTACATTAAGGTGTAAACACACGGCGTAGCTGACGCTGTGAGGTAAGGGTGCATATAGAATGCGGCTTGTATTGTTGGTAAAGCGAATATTGTAAGCAACACAAATATGTAAATTATTTATAAAAAAAACAAAGTTTTACATTAAATGCAATAAAAAAAATAATAATATTAACAAAATAATAATAATAATAATGAAATAATAATATTAAAAATAAAAATATTAAAATCTCACCACTTCACTAATGCAATGTTTCCAGAGTACTTTCGCACCACTACTGCATAAGAAAATTTCTATTCGATTTATTTGATATTTTTTTATTTATTTTTTATTTCACTTCAAGCTTTAAAACCCACGCAACCACTACCGTTGAGCTGTCACAAATCCTTCTTACTTGAACTCTTTCGCTACCAGCTTTTGCCATTTCATATACTGGCCTTAATATGTACTGCAACCAACGCCAGCACAAGCTTTGTTATCACATTTAAATATAACTTACATGCATTAGCGCTGTCTACTAAATTAAAAATATTAAATTTATTATATGTAACAATCAAGTTAACACAATTGTCGCAATGTAAAACATTTTACTTCGCTGTGGTGAAAAAAAAACAGTTGTATTTATGATTTATAGCACCGATTGTATTTGATTTACACTAATTTTACATTTTGATTGACACCCTGTGTTGGTGTTTGCAGACATTTTATGTTAATTTTATATTGACAGTGTAACACACGCTGCACAATACCTGTGTTATATAAACACTGTAGTATATTTCGTAAAAAAAAGGAAAAAATTTACATGATTGAATAGCTTATAATTGTGGTATATTACAATTTCATTAAGTGCATCTTATAGTCATATTTGTGAAACGATAAATGTTATCGATTATTTATTTAGATAAAGCACAGCCAGTAAAATACACTAGAGCTGTATGCAAATTGAAGTTGGCTGCTCTATAACCGTATGAAAATTAACTGTTTTTTTATTTTTCGTGGTTGCAAGAAAAAATTGAACTTTTTTCCATTTTTATACCACTCACCACCATATATGCTCTATAAAAAAATGTCACCTAATTCCCACAATAACTACAGGCTACCACTCAAACGTCATCGCTCAGCCAATTAGGCGAATGAAACACGTAACGATGCGTTTATATAATATGTACGTCGCTTTGTTATTTCTTTATTTATTTTATTAGTTTATTTTATTTTTATTTTTATTGCATTTTTTTTTGGACTTTCTGCATTACACAATATTTAATTTTCAAATCTTTTTTTACTTTTCTTTCTCTTTTTACGTTGCGTCTGCCTTTTGACATATCAACAAATGTGTATATATGTATGACAACAGGGAAGAGATGCAACACCATACCTGGAAAGGAATCGTGTCGGACGGGATGCCATCGACTCAGCAGCTGCCTTAACCGATATGGGTAAATATTTATTCCGTGAGCGACGTTTGCCCGTCTACGATATTGCTGTGGCGATAACCAAGTAAGTAGCGCAAGTAGAAGAAAAAAATTGCAATAACTTTTGAAAAAGTAATTTAAATATTTTCGAGTATTAAAGTAATACAGCTGAGCATGCAAAGCGCGAGATTCAGATTAGCGCACTTGTTGGCTGGATTATTTTTGTTTTTTATTGTTTTTATATATTTTTTTTATTATTTTTATATATCTTTTCAACTACTTTATATTTATTTTTCTTATTTCCATTTTACAAATAACTATTAATTTAATCAAACTGTACTATTTTTTTACTCTTAATCTGAAAACTTTCAACTTTAAAACTATTTTCTACACTTTCGTTTCGTTTATCGTAAAAAAAAAAAAATACAAAAAAATATTTATGCATATACTCAAATGTATACATAATACAGGTATGATATGTGTCGCAGACGTAAAGGCGGTCGTTGCACCAAAGGCACAGCGGGTAAAAATCTGAAAAACTTCCATTATCTTACAATCGTAGTACCTTAAGTAGTTCGAAAATTAATCATTTCTTAGCAAATAACCTTGTGTTGTTCGGAATAATATTTTTAATGAGCTTTTTCATGGGGTTTTTATTGTAAGAACCAAAAAGAAAAAAATTGTATGAAGCACACATTATACTACAACAAAAACAAAAACAAGCACACATATCACTAGCACAAGCAGCATCAAAATATTAAAGACAAACATTAAAACTATAGAAATAAAAACCCAAAAACACAATAAAACATACATACATATATAAATACAAAAAATATACATTTCAAAGCACAACACACACTGATTTCACAAATACCGTAGATTAAACATACATTTTTTACCAAGGGTTTTATGTGATTTGGTCTTATATTTTGGTATTTTATAGCCATGTAATGCAGTTCGTATAGTTTTATGAGCTTTTAATTGTAAAAAAAAAAAAATGGTTCAAAGCACTTGTAGTATGCTAATATCGTAAATTTTTATTAAGGGTATATTAATGCGTTTAGTTGCGATTATTTTTTTTTCTGGCTAACTTGAGTTATTGGAGTTGGTGTTTCTGATTTTTATTTACAACATTGCATATTATTTTAGGCAAAATTTTTAAGTAATTATTAATTTAAAATTTATATCGTATGGTTAACATGCATATGGAGCGCGGAAAATTAATATTACAATGCTAAATTACTTCAAATGATGAAGTTTGAGCTTAAAGTGCTTAAACTTGCTAATATCGTAAATTAAAATTTTTTTTATTAGTAAGGCAGTGTTGATATTGTAGGAGTTTTTTTGTTGAATATCGTAAGCGTCTATCGTGAAAATATTAAATCATGCATCAAATACACAGATTGTTTCCAGCATATAAAATAAATATTGAACGTATTTTGAGAATCATTGTCAATTTACGCGTAATATAACTGCCTTGGGAAAACTTCTTTTATTCACCACCTTTTGTTTCTCTTAAAACTTTCACAATCTATTCTCTCATATTAAATTTAATTATATTTTTTATTTAGTCAAAACAAGTAGCTCTTATATAACGTATTTAATAATTTATTATTTTCGTACTCGTAAACTCAAAACAACACAGACTTGATATGTGCAGACGTACATCAGCTCATGGTGAATGTAATCGTGGTACAGCAGGTAAATGTCAATTTGACACAATATAAAAAGTGTAAATTAAAGAAAAAAATTCGAAAAAATAAAAGCGCAGTAAAAAGTAACTTTTACAATAAAAACAACGAAAACAAAAATTTCATACAAACATACGCCTCACATCAAATCATTCAATCTCTAAATATGTGTTATTATATTATGTTCAAAATAAACTTAAGCACGTTTCTTCTACTTATGTTATTCTTCACTACTCTCTACTGCAAAAGAGCACGTGATATTCTTTGATAAATTTTGTTTGTAAAAAAAAAAATAATCAAAATTATTTTATGTATTTCTCTATACTAAACATATTAAACGTGTAAATATGTATGTCAAAGTGTTGAAGCGCGTGCAATTTACCTTTGCTATGATTTGCGTGACTGATTATCAATGATTTTTGTAACTATTTTCTATCTTGAACTTCTTTTGTAAATTACATTATTTTAGATTATTTATTATTATCACTTTTACCAGCGACGTTTTAACCTACGCATTTATTATCGTTTTCTTTTGATCCAGTTGATCAATCTTGCTGAAAATTAATTGCAAGTCATTTAATTTTTTGCTTCTTTACTTTTGGCTATCAAGATCTGCGTAAGCTATCGATTGGAAAATCGATAACGCATTAGTTTAAGGTGTGTACACACACGAGAGGTGTAATATATGATAATACTCGTATAGGGTGTACATAGTTTTTATTACGTTATTTATATTCTCGGCGAGAATGACGACTTCAAAGAAAATTACATTTAATAATTGGAAACTAAAAATGAAAAAAAGAAGTGAAAAATGGAAAAATGGAAAGTATAATGCATTCGTATTGCGTTGATATAAAGAGCGTAAGCATTTCTCGCGTCATTTCGCCTTTCAGCGGAATAATAAACCAAAATTTAATTAAACATTATTCTTTGTTAACAAACAATTTATCGCGTTTAACAAATAATTACCATTGCAATGCCGGAAAAAATAGCAGAAAATACCATATTTATGTAATTGGCGCAGGGTGACACAGCGTTAGTGAGTCGATAATGAATAAGAGAGAAACCAGTTTATAGGAAAGAGATAAAATTTGAACGTTTCAAAAATATTTGGAACTGTATTTGTTAGTTAAAAAACAGTTAAAAAGAAAAACAATTATATTTTGTTTAGGAAAGTAAGAAAATTGCGTAATTAGTGTGGTTATTCAAATATCGTAAAGATTTTTGGCATAACATTGCTTGATGGTTGACTTGTATAATAACAAATAAATATAACATATTTCTATTTATTTCCAAACTAAAACATTTTTTCTTATTTAATATTCATTTATTGCCACATTTGGACCAAAAAAAAATAGTTCGAAGGTGAGGTGTTACTAATAAATAAATTACTTTCAATATGTAATATATCTTTAAGATTTTTTGCGCTGATCATATTGTAATAATTCACAACTTATTTTACAACAAAACTAATTCCATTTAAAACCAAAAAAACAAGTCATAATTGATTGCCAAGTGGTGTTCATATATACATATTTTATATCAGAATTGCGTCACGCCTCAAATACATCAACTAAAGATATATTTATATATATATTTATATATAATACATATATAACATATTGTAACTTGTCACACACTACAACACATGCAAATACTAAAATAAAAAAATAATATTTGGTTACCAGCGCTATTATAAATATCAGCTGCAGGCTTTAAATAATTATTAACAACTTTTGCACACATTTAAAAATTGCACAGTTTTTCTAACCATTTTCAATTTTGTTTTAAACTCGGTTTCGGCTTAAATTTTGCGTAAATTGTCCACTTCCTACTGCTTGCTTGGAAAATATTTTTATTTATACTATTTTTTATACTAATTGCAATTATTATTATTTTTTTTCTCCACATTTTTCTGCTCTTTAAAACACATTTGCGCTAAAAAATGAATTAATACAAAAAAGGTTTTGCATATGTTGGCGGTGCCTGCGTTGTGAACAAACGTTTGGAAAAAGTCAACAGCGTTGCTATCATTGAGGATACTGGCGGTTTCAGCGGTATCATTGTGGCTGCACATGAAGTTGGACATTTGTAAGTAGAAATATGAAAACATTTTAGCATTTATAATATACAATATATGAAAAGATATTGCTAATTATTATTTAGTTATCTGATAGATAAGACCAAGCGATTAGAACTAGTAATAAAACGATATACGTCATAATAATCGATAACTCAACGGTTTGTTGGTTGGTTATGGCATAGCCATACAGAGTGTACAAAAAGCAAATATTTTTTTACATAATATTTTTTTTTTAATTTAACTGTTTTTTTTTTTCTACAAATTTTCGCCTTAAAATAATAACAATAAAACACACATGTGGAAAACATGAAAAAACACTTGACAACGTTTCTAGTCAATTGACTAGCCCAACCATTAATGCGATTTCCGCTGTCATTATTGACACATACACGTAAATGAATATGCAGACAAACTTGTTTGCATTTCCTTTGCAGGCTTTAGCATGCAAACACACACACACACACACACACACACGCACTTACAAACTAAATAACGTATTTCGTAAAAAATTTGCATGAATAAATGTGCGAAGAAAAAAAGAACTTAATTATAATTACAGACACTTGCGCACAAATCAATTTATTTTGTATTTTTATCCACACACACACACACACGCACACACAAACACACTTTATGTACTACATATTGGTTTTTCTCACAGACTTGGCGCCGTACATGACGGTTCACCACCACCCAGCTATCTTGGCGGTCCGGGTGCGCAACGTTGCCGCTGGGAGGATGGCTATATAATGTCCGATTTGAGACACACAGAGCGCGGTTTCCGTTGGTCACCATGCACAATACAGAGTTTCCATCATTTCTTAAAGTGAGTGCTGCAAGGAAAAAATATATAAAAATTACTTCTTTTTTTTTAAATTTATTATAATTTGTTATAAATTTATTTACGGAATTACAGCGGCGATACTGCCACCTGCTTACATAATGCACCGCATGAGGATAGCGCGCTGGGACGCGCCTTACCGGGTACACTGCTCTCGCTGGACGCGCAGTGTCGTCGCGATCGTGGCACATATGCTTGCTTTAAGGATGAACGCGTCTGTGCGCAACTCTTCTGTTTCGATGCGCAGACGGGTTATTGTGTGGCATATCGACCGGCGGCGGAGGGTTCTACGTGCGGCAGTGGATTGGTAAGGCATTTGGAAAGAAATTTCTTCTATTTTTTTTTTAGAAAACCTAACCTCAAATTTACAGCTGACAATGGATTTTAGATTTTTTTTTATTATTAATTATTTGAAACAAATTAACCACTTTGAGTACAAAAATTATAGATTTCTCTAATTTGAGAAAAAAAAGTTGTAAAATACGCTCTTCTTCTTCCTCTCTTTACACCAGCAATGCCTGGACGGTCGCTGTACGCCACTCACGTCGAATGTCATACCAGCTTATCGTTCTTACAAGTAAGTACAAACTTTTTCACAACTTTTAATTGTTTAAAAATGAGACAAGAAAGCTAAATTTTTTTTGTATAATTAAAAAAATATATATACGTAATGAATGCTCGATAGCAAATGTTTTTTTATGTAGTTAATATTAAACTTTTGTAGTTATTTCTTAAAGTAATTTCCACTTATAACGGTAATGGTCATTGTTACCACTATGGTGACTTTTACAGTTGTAACTGTTTGTTAATTATTACAAAAACATTATAATTTGCCTTTAAATTTGAAACTAAACAACAGTTAATTAAAATTTCCCGGCAACACAATCTACATATAAGCATTTTTTTTTTGTTAACTGGTTATTTGATTAACAGTTTTTGGCAACAATTTTCTGTATAAAAATAAATTTAATGCCCCAAAAATTTAAATTTTTAGTTAGCAAAATTTCTTTCTTTGAGATTAATACATAATTTGTGCAAAATGTACATAAATACATACATTTTAGAGCATAGCACACAGTATTACTACAGTTATTTATATATATATATACACACGTACACATTAGAAAACTATTTAAATTTTATTTAATTTTGTAAATTTTTGTATATATGTACATATACTATTGATTTATGTTGATTTACAACAAGTTAAAACATACAAATAATCAAACCCAATTTTTACAAACCCACCTCCAACACAACAATTACAACTACAACAACAAACAACAAACAATTGCTTAATAACAACACGAAACATACGCAACAACCCTTACGACACCAACAAACTCTCAAATAAAAAAATTGAAACAAAAAAAATTAAACAAACAAAAATGCAACCCATAACACCATTATCGAATATCGATACCCGCCGATAACATTTTACACTTCCGTTGACACATGACCGAAATTGAATAAATTGACACACGCAAAAACCAAACAGCGAAAACAATGGCGCTACTAGTAATAGCGCGGAGAATACAGATACTAGCAGTGAGGAAGAGGATGAGGAAGATGATGAAGATGGGGAGAATATCAATAGTGACGAGGTGCAAGATCAAAAGAATACATTAAACAACAATGCTGCGCATGGCCGTCGACTCGGCAATACGGTGGAGCACACCTCACGCGAAGTTGACGACACTAGCAATCCCAATCGTATAACAACCAAAACCATAACCACTAGTAATACGAATACACCCACACAGACGAACTCACTCACCACAATTACGTTGGAATCACATTCACGACACCATCAAACACACAATAAGCATAACAACAATCAACGGCAAGTGCAACAACAGGGTACTTTAGAATTTTTAGCTAGGTTCTTAGCACAAAATCCGCAATGGCAACAGCTATTGGTGGGGCAGGCAGCACAACTCAATGCAGCACTATCGGGTGCAGCAACAACAACTGCTAATGATGTAAGAACAAATGAAAAGAGTGAAGGGCTGGTAACGCCAGCAGAGACTCAACAAGGCGAATTACCACCACAGGCTATGGTTGTGGTGAAAACGAGTGTGAGCAGCAGCACCAGTAGTAGTAGTAGTAGTGGCGGTAGTAATTTAAATAGTAGTAGTAGTGATTTTAGGTATAATAGTGAGAATGAGGATAATAATGACGAAGAAGGAAAGAGTGTTGCGCGGAATAATATTGAATTTTTGAAATTAAAAATCATTGAAAAAGCAATTGAGAAAAATAAAAATATGGCGTATAACAAAGAGTTAAATGAGCATGAAGAGTTTGCTAATAATGAAAGTCAGAAATTGCAGAAAGTGCATGAAACAAACGAAACACAGAGAGAACAAAAAGAAATCCTAACAACGTTTAACAATGCACAACAAACTCCAAAATATATTACACAGCAACACCGACACATAACAACCAAATTGGCAAAATTAACACAAAATCAAGATAGAAAATCGACAACAACAACAACAGCACCACCAACAATCAAACCACCTAACCTCTTTCAAATTTACACGCATGAATTACGCAAGCAATTACAATATTATTTAGGTTTTTTACGCGCAAACGCCAATGACAGCGTCAGCGCTAGCGATAGTAGTAGTAGTATTTTGAGTAGTAGTAATCGTACAGCAACAAATACTTCAAATTCAAATTATAGCAATACAGTGAGCGCTGCCGCCAAATTGCAACAACAGCAACAAGCAGCGGCGCTGCATCAAAGCGACGATGATGGTGATAACGAAGACAATGAAGACAATGTGAATGATAGCAATGTGGACGCGGACGATGATGCTAGCAATGAGGCTATCGATGACAAACAACAAAAGCGTAAGTTTAATACAATCACAACCACCACCACCACAACAACAACAACAACATCAAGCACAAGTGGTAATGCACAACAACAACAACAGCACACACAACGTTTACAACAAGCGCCGCCACCGTCGTTAGCACCGACGCGCAGCAGCAGCAGCAAGAGCAGCAGCAGCGGCGCCACCGGTGTAATTACCAATAATAATAACAATAATAATAACAGAGCACTACAACGTCCAGCCACATTTATTGATGCGTATTTGAAAAAATTACAAGCGCTTAATGCGCCAACGGATGTAACGGCAACACTAACGGCTACCACAACGAGCACAACTATGTCGACATCGAGCGTGGTCGGCAAGGCAGTGCAAACAGGCGGAACGCACGAGAACGAACCGACAAAGCGGCCTCAACCGGAAACATTCGGCAGTCATTTTCTTAAACGTACGCAAAATTTTATTAGTAGAAGTAGTAGTGTGGGCAATAGTAGTGGTGGTGAGGAGAGTAGTAGTGTTGATAACATTAATCATGGTAGTAATATCAGCAGCAGCAGCAGCAACAACAACAACAACAACACCAACAACAACAACAATCACTATAAAAACAACAGTCAAAATAGAATTCACAAAAAACTTACACGTATTTCAAGCCATAATACCGTTACAAATAGTCAGCAATACGATGTTGAGCACGAACGCGCCCAACATGCTGCTGATGATGTTGTTAGTGTTGCAGATGTGTCCAATAATGATAATGAGGATTTGCATGTTGTGATCACAACGCAACAACCAGCTTATGTAACGAATTATTTAGGTGATAATACGCATAATTTGCCAAGATTACTTGAGCAACAACAGCAACAACAACAGTCATCATCAACAAAAACAACATCCACAACAACAACAACAACAACAACAACAACATCCTCACAACCATCACAACAAAAAGCACATAAAGTAAAAACACAAAAACTGATACGTCGCCAATTGTTGCGTACACAAATTAAATGAAAACAACAACAAATTGTAGTAAATTTGTGTGTGCAAGTCACGCCAATGAGAAGTGTTTAATATTTCATTGCAAACACACCACATATAGTTTGTATTTCTATTTATATGCTAAGCGAGAAGAAAAAAAAAAGAAAAAAAATAAGAAGAGAAAAATACAACGAAAGCATAGCATTTCCTTATCACAACATATTCGTAATATCATTTCAATGAGAAATTACTTAATGTACACTACCATATGCCACAAAAAAAAAAAAAAAAAAAAAAAAAAACAACCATACAGCGGTAGCCAAATACCCGTGTTGTTCACATGCCAGTCTAATGACAATCAGCTGTTTTGGGAAATGCCAATCTGCGCACACCCATTATTACACTTCTGAATAACTGGAAAAAGAAACTACACTTTCATTTCAAAAAAAAAAAACAAAAAACAAAAACTACAAATATGCGGTAAGCAAAAATAGTACAACAATTTCAAAATAAATATGGACAAGGATTTATAATGCATGGTCTTCAAAGACTTTAGTATTCATTTTAACAAAAATCAGAGTTTTAAAAACCCAGTAGCACGCTCATGGCATGGAATGGAATGTAGAACGGAATTAAAGAACTGCTTCAATTATGCTGCTTTTAATTTTATAAAGAAATCATTTTCTTACTTACTGCGTGGTTATAAAGGAACAGTAAAGGTAGTAGACATAACGCATGGATTGAGTTGTTTAGAGAGGATAAGTAGTAGTAATGCTGCATGAAATTGATACTAATGCGGCGCATTGAAGGTATAACCGGAAAATAAATGAATTCATAAAGCGATTAAACATTTTAAGGCGCATGCTGGGATATTTCCATTATAAAAAAAGGAACCGGCAAAATAACAACATTAGCACTCTAATATTCAAACTTCCCAATTTTTTGCATGCGCAAAATAGGAATTTTTCTACATATTGTGGTTTTTGAATTTTTTTTTTTCAAATAATTTTGCTTATGCCTGCGGTTCATCATATGAAACATCCAATTAACCGAAAAACGAAATGCTTAAACTACGTTTGTCTGGTATATGGTAGTTAAAACTGCGTTTGAATATTTTTTTTTTAATAACTTTTCACAGTTGACTGCGTAAAAATATGATTTTTCATACTTAAAAATTTTCATCCATAACAAAATACAATAGCTAACGGTTGAGAATTTTAAAAATATTTTTAAATCATATAATTTTTAGCAAATGCATTAAACTACAGTCACTTAAACGCAAGTTCCATTATGCACATAAACATATAATATTCGAACAAAAAATAGCAATTTTTTTCACATTTTTGCTATGCAAAAATTCGCATAATTTCTACCAATTTATTATTCTTTGTTTTATTAATTCATCTCTCTTCATCACTTTCCTCTACTTCTATAAATGAGTGCTGGGTTATTTATTTACTTTTCTCCCTTTCACGCTGTAATTTTTCATTAAAAGTTCATTTAATTCTGTATTTTTTTTTATATATTTTTTAATAAATTTGTGTTAATAATGTTTATTTAAATTATTAATTTAAATTATAAAAATTTATTTTTAAATTCCATTTAAAATTCTAAAACATTTATTAAAACATAAAATTTCCAAATTTAATTTTTTATTAAAAGTAACTCAGTTAATTTATATTTTTGTACTAATTATACCGTTTGTCTGTCCTTTAACATTGGTTTTAATTCGTAAAAATCGCAAAACGGTATACGCGTACAATATGCTCGTGGCGTACGGCACATAAACGTATGTGCGAGGATATCTATATATACATACACACATACACGTATATGCGTGTCTATAAGCTCCTGTAGTTAAAGAAAAGCTAGTCTGAAATAACTTAAAGCAAAATTATGAAATAAATCTATTTCACAATCAACACATTAGCACGGCGTAATATAGTTTCACTTTTTTCTGTTTTAATATTGAAAATTTTAAAAACTTTATTAGACGCGAAAACTCAGCCATTTTCTATATATATTTCTTTTGGTTCACTTCCGCACCGTTTCATTCCCAAAAACTGTATCTCTCTTCATACTGCTCGCTGTTCCTACTCATTAAAACATCCGCAACACAGGGTTACACAAGTTAAATGAATTATATAAAAGAAAATGTTAGATTCACATTTCCATTAAGACATAGATGGCGTAAGTCACAAACAACAACAACAACAACAACAACAACAACAACATAATGCAATACTTTTCACCAACACCAACACAATCATACGCCATACAACAACAAAAATCAGCAGCACAAAAAAGCAAACAAATAAATTCCCATACACATCAGCTAACCAGTCATATAATGCATTATTGAATTAATACAGATTTGGGAAAAAAGGTTAAAATTGTCATAATTTTATAAAAAAAAAAAATAGTAGTTAAAAAAAGAAAAAATATACATACATCAATAATGTATAGAACTACATGCATATATATTCACAGCTACATGGAATTAAATTAGAAATAATGACATACATAAGCATTAATTGACCCTTATTATGAGCAATTATATGTAATAAGTCAACCATTAACAAATAAACAAATTGCTATCATGGATATGGAATTTTTAGCCAAAAAATAATAATATGAAATGGCGCAACTGCAACTACAACAATATTATGGGTGTACGAAATATATTTACCTATATATAGCATTTAGTATATATTTATACAGTTTAACTGGATTAATTGGATTACTATTTACAAATATATGTACATGTACATATATTACCGTAGCGTAAAAAGCACAACCGACGCTTGGATTATGGTTTTCCAAAAACAATATAAACAACGTAAAGGAGAAGTATTAAAAAAAAAAAACTCGCACAACTACATGACATACGCATATAACATTATGGATACATAAAATGCATCGTCTACTTTTTCACACATAAAATTTATGCGCAGAAAATATAAAATTAATAAAAAAAAAAACAAAACAAAATCAAGGCCTTTGATAAAAAAAAATAAAAAAAAAAAAAATATACATATAACATTTTAATTTGCATTTCTAATGTGAATTTGAGTTAAACCTTTAAAAACGCATCACTTTGTACTACGAAATTTTGCATGGCAGTGGCGGCAAATACACATTACACATAACTAAATTATATTAATTTTCGAAACAACAACATAACAAAAATACACAGAAAAAAATATAAACTCTTCTGGCGTCATAATAACAACATATTTGCATTCCTTTTTTTTTTATATGCATACAATTGAAATCATATTTATTTAAATTGATTTTATATTATAATTTTTTATTTTTACTGTTTGTTGTTTATTATTTTTTTTTATATATATTTTTCTATTATTTTTTATTATTTATTTATTTTTTTATAGCAATTTTTTTTTTTTGTTTTTACACATTTTTATTATTTGCGTAATTTTTTTTTTTTCAATGACATTACACATTTTACTTTCGATTTATCGATTTTTCAATTTCCTTTCATACATAACACCCTATGTTTCGTTCGTTTACTAATATTGTTTATTTTCTTTTTTTTGTCGCTGTGCAGTGGTTAACTGGAAGGCGTTTCCGTTTTGAAAAAAAAATTTAAAAATATTAAAAATTAGTTCCGTTGCTGACTGATTGATACGCTTTTCGTTATTAATTACATACATACTGCAAACTGAGGACCACTTCAACACATTCAATACAATACAAACTGTTGCTTGCAGGCCGCAAGTACACGTATATATATATAAATGTACAAGGAAGCAAGCAAATGTAAGCGGTAAACAGCAATCTCAACGCATGTAAAAGCATCTCAACAACAACAAGAACAAAAATAATAATAATAGCAACAAAACAACAACAACAAGTTAAAGCTGAACAACAAGAGAACCTTTATATTTATAAATACTAATTAATTCGTAATTGGATAACAAAATAGCGTAATTGAAATGTACATCTAACTTGAAAACCACACACAACTCATTTGCCATTTCGATGTTAAAAAGAAAAGAAAATATTTACATACAAAACTGCATACATACATACTGCATATATACATGCATATCATTAAATGTATAGAAATAATTAGAACAGCAATAGATGAATGAATGTAGATGAAAAAGTATCCTGCCAAAACTTGTAATACATGTTATCATACATATACAAAAACAACATAAGTCCACATGCCACCTACATACATATATACGCGTGTATGTATGTATGTAATATTACATATGTATGTATGCACTTCATACACATATACAAGACGTAAGGCATCTATCAAATATCAAATCACACGTGAGCATTCATATTTAAATTATACATAAATACATACAAACAAACATACATACATGAAAAAGCAAGCATAGTTAGAATTTATTGATTTTGTTTTAGGTTATAATTTTTAACATACATATATGTAAATTACATCATAGTTATGTATATTTAATTTAATTTTTTGTTTTTTTTTTTAATAAATTTTGTGTTTTTTTATTTGTTTATTTGTTAAAGGAAATGTAAAATGCAGTTGCGCATTAGAATGAATAAATGTAGTTATATATTTTGAAAGAAAAAAAAGGAGGAAAAACAAATGTTAAATTAATTTAAATTATATACATATATCACAAATAAACGCTTTCGAACGCACATACTACATAAATAGTATGATAATCACTTGTATTTTGTAAAATTCATTTATTTATGTCACTTACGCTGTGCAAAATGTTTTTTGGAACCATTTGAAAAAAAAAATACATACATATATATATAAATAAAAAATTCCTGTACTTATGACAAAATTTCATTAACTCGTATATGCTTATCAGTTACATTGACATATTGTTAATTTGTAAAGTGTTATTATATTTTATATTAGGCGCATATTAAACCTATACATTAATTAAGTAAATATTTTTAAGCATAATTTACTACGTCATCTAACAACGTACATGTATGTATGTATGTGAAACAGGCATGGTAAAGATGTTTATGATATTATAAATAAACTTACATATACATGCCTACATACATAAATACTTAGCTAAATACATACATTAAATAAAAAAAAGAAGTTAATTATAGTTAAATGCGAAATAAATCTAAAAAGCATAAAATTAGTGTTTGTAAAAATTTTAATTTTGTTGAAAATAAAAATTTGCTTATAATTTTATATAACTGTGTATAATTTTCTTTAGTTTAATGATAATGTATTTCACAAGTCTATAGGGAAAACTATAACAAAATCCAGTAATTTCATATAAAACCAAGCATTTCTTTTAATTTGCTTAACAAATACCGTATAAAGAAATTTTTTTCTGTCATATTAGTTTTATTGTTAAATTCAAAAAAAAAAAAAACAAATATCACATTTGGAAAATTCATTCAAATTTCTTTATATCTGGTATCTTAATTATTACACTCCTTGTGGGTATTCTTCCTAAAAAGTCATCGAAATCAATTTGCGTTTCTAAGTAATCACCATACGTAATGGTATTGTAAATAGCTGCCGCAGCTGTGGCTATAAATAATGCACCGTCATTCACATCTTTTGTATATGTGTAACGTGTACCCATTATGCCGGCCAACATAAATTCGGTAGATAGTTGAAATAATGGTCGTGGTGGATTTCTTGAATTTAAATATGCACCATAGCCTAACACACCACCAACCACAACGCTGGAGCCCAATTGAATTATGGAATCTGGGAAATGAAATTTAATTTTTTTTTACAGATTTTTGCACAACTTCTTCTTAGAGTTCCTTACCATTATCCAAGGCCCTCACAACACCCAACGCTGTGTAAGTGCCCGCTAGCACGAAACCCATTATATCAATTGGTAATACCATTTGCCGTTCGCTGTAATTGAACAACAAAAAAAAAAATTGACAAAAATTGTTTAAATTAATTTCAAAATCAATGACAAGTTACATTTTTTTCTTTTTTTATTTGTTCTCTTTTGTATTGAATGTGAATATTCTTGGCGGTAGTAGCAGATATGTGGAATTACAATTTTACATTTACAATTTGCAAAGGCAGCAGAGTAAAAATAATTCATATTCTACTAAAATTCTGTAGCAACAAAATTCCCACCTCCTGACGATGGCAAGGCGTAGTAAAAATTAGAAAAAAATCCCTGTCCCGACGGCATCCAACTGTTTCTTGGATTTTGACATTCAAAGTAGTTTTTGGGGAATGTTGCGTTAGTGGCAGCTCGGGGCTGATTAAAAAAAACTGCGTCGTTCAGGTAAAAATACCAGACTGACTAGGCAACTTCTGGAGTTTAGTAGCATTTAACGACGAGTGGGCTTTACCGTAGGAGAGTTCTTGAACGCTTACCCCGTGGGAGTCGCTCAATCAGGTACACGTACTACGCACACGCATACATACATAAAAACTCCACAAAGAAGTCAAAATTACAAAAAAAAAGAGAACAACAACTTTATTTGCACATTAATTACAAACATATGTATGTAAATGTACATAATTTACAATATATGATATAAAATTATTTTTGAAGTACAATGTTGCAGACCAAATCACCCAAATTAACAAACTATAAGATATACTAAGTGAGTTTATATAAATTTATATAAATTTTTGCATTTAGTAATATTAAAACTATGATACGGCAAGTTATTTTGCCAGCAATGCATTACTAATTAATGAAAGCCCTTACACGAATGTACAATACATACATACATGTATATAAAAATAATTCTATGTACATAACTGCATTTACTGTTGTCTACCGGGTAATGGCAAATAACGATTATATGTGTATAAATTACGCAATATAGCGGCAACAGATATAATGCAAATCATGCCAGCAGGCATCATTTTTCCCGAACGTTGGAAACGTGCACCCATTATGCCGGCCAATACCACCGATGTGGTCAATTGTAGTAGTGGACGTGGCGGATCTTGTGAATTAAAATGTGCACCTACGCCAAGAATAGCACCAAAGGCCAAACCAGCACCTAATGAGGGTATGGATCCTGGAAAATGATTATGAAATATATGTATATTGGCAATTTTGGCTGATAGCTGAGCATGAATTGCACAATCTATAAAATAATTCATTAGTGCTTACCGGCTTTAACGTAGCCCATTATGCCGCCGGCAGCTACAGTAGCAGCATATAAAAATCCAAGAATATCTGTGGACATTTTTTGTAAATTAAGGAATTGTTTTAAAAAAAATATTATTTAACAATGTTAAAAATCTTCGCAAGAAAGAAACGTCCACTGTAGTAGCTCCAATCAGATGTGAAGTTGTTTTCAATTAAGGAACAAAAACAAGTCATATAAGAGAAAAGTGGTGTGTTTCATGAAAATGAGACATTTTAGAGTGTCATGGGGAACTCTTTCATAATGACACAAAATAATTAATTTAATTTTATTTTTTTAATCTTACATGTAAGTATGACATAAATTAGAGTATTTCCGCTATATTCGATAGTAAAAAATCAAGGGGAGTATAGAAGGTTAAAAAATATCTAGCAAAGACCATATATCATAGAACGCTTTTTATTCATATACGTGCTTTATTCATATACGTTCTTTGGTTCTTTGAAATCAGACATTTTTTCTTACCATTACGGCAGCACTACCAATTGGCAAAACTCTGTTTCTATCCCAACTGTTTCACCTGTGTTCGATTACGTTGGCGTTCCTCCGCCATTTATAATTTTCAGTGGAAATATTCATGTGGTGTCAGGAAAATTTTCACAAATTTATTTAAAACAAAAAGTATTATAAAATCTAAGATCTTAACACATTTTTTAATATCAAAGTGTGTATAGCAATTCACATTTTTTGTAAAGGTTTTATTTCTCGCAGTATAAAACTTAAATCGTATAAAATTTAGTGTCTATAGTTGACTGAATACCGACTTTATAAGCTGTGAAAAAATTTTCAACGAAGAACAATGAGTGAGTTTGCCGGATCTCAAGCTAATTTAAATCAATCGCAAGCTTTTGCTGCCGCACTGCAACGTGCTAAACAGGTAAATTTTAAAACAAAATAAATTTAAAAAATCAATTTCTATTTCGAAAATTGCGTTTTGACGCACGTACCCACACACGCACACACATATGTATATTTAGATAGCCGCAAAAATACAGCCAAACACCGCTCAGCAAGCTGGTGGAGGAGTCTCGAGCGGTCCGGGACCCTCACCTACTTCAAATGCCGGTTTTAAACGTTCTCATGATGACAGTGATTCTGGTCCTGAAATAAAGCGTTTTACTAGTCCTGGCCTTGATTACAACAATTCCAATGGGAGCAGTGTTGGAGGTGGCGGTAGTAACGCCGGTTCTACGAATATTTCTCAGGCTCTCGCACAGGCAACGGCAGTGGCGCAGCGGTTAGCCGCTACTGCTGGTACTACGGTTGAAGAGCAAATTCGCATTCCTGAGGCACTTGTCAATTCCGTTTTGGGGCGTGGTAGCACAGAGACCATTACCCAAATTCAGGGTGAATCTGGTTGTAAAGTACAGCTATCACAAGATCAAGGTATAACAACTAACGTAAATAAATAAAATGTAAACGTTTAAAACCATTTGGGTTTCCCCCCCCGTATAGATCGTGTTATTACTTTGCGTGGTTCACGCGAAACTGTAACTAAAGGTCGTGAGTTATTCCAACAATTATCCAATCGCAATGGTGGCGGTAATATCGAGGTGGTATTAACCATAAATATGCCACCGCCAGGACCTACAGGTTTTCCACCATACCAAGAAATTATGATACCAGGCACCAAAGTTGGTTTGGTTATCGGCAAAGGTGGCGATACCATTAAACAATTGCAGGAAAAAACTGGCGCAAAAATGGTCATTATACAGGATGGACCAAATCAGGAAATTATAGTAAATATATCTAATTATTGTCTAGAGATATTCAAATAGAAATAAATGTTTACTTTATTATATTAGAAACCTCTACGTATCTCGGGAGATCCACAAAAAATTGAACATGCAAAACAAGCTGTACTTGATTTGATTGCTCAAAAAGATTTACAAGCTGCTGCGCTTGCAGCTCGTAATAATGGTGGTAGTGTACAAGGTAATGGCGGCGGCGGCGGTGGGGGCAGTGGTGGTTATAACTTCGGTAACACTGGAGAGCAGTGTGAAGTGTTTGTACCGAAAATTGCTGTCGGTGTTGTTATTGGCAAGGGTGGAGACATGATACGTAAAATACAGACTGAATGTGGCTGCAAGCTGCAATTCATACAAGGAAAGAATGATGAACCGGGCGATAGACGGTGCCTTATACAAGGCACACGGCAGCAAGTTGACGACGCTAAACGTATGATCGACGGGCTTATTGAGAATATGATGGTAAGAGAAATATGAGTAGAAAATATATATAAGACGAAAATTATAAAATAAAATAAATATTTTATCAAGAATTGTTTATTTATGTTGGTTTCGGTTTTCAGCAAAGGCAACAACGCAGTGGCAATAGTAGTAGTAATGGTAATATGGATGGCAACAATTCCAACTACGGTTACGGTTATGGTGTAAATCACGCACAACAACCGCCACGCGAAGAAATAACCTTCATGGTACCCTCTTCCAAATGCGGTGTAAGTGCAAAATATAAATATGATATTATTTTAATTTCTCATAATTTTTCCTATGCATTGATAGATCGTAATTGGTCGCGGTGGTGAGACTATAAAGCTTATAAATCAACAATCTGGTGCCTATTGCGAAATGGATCGTAATGCTGTAAATCCACCTTCGGAGAAATTATTCAAGTGCAAAGGAACTTCGGAACAAGTTGAAGCTGCACGACAAATGATTGCCGAAAAGATCAATATGGAATTGCCAATTATTGCACGTAAACCCATCAGTGGTAACATACCTGGACAACATAATAATCAAGGTGGTTATGGACAAAATCCCATGCAAAATGATCCCAACGCCGCTGCAGCTGCATACCAACAGCAATGGGGTGGCTATGCACAGGGTTGGGGTGATCAAAATCAACAACAACAAATGATGATGGGCGGTGCTGCTATGGGTCAAAATGCAGCAGCCGCAGCTGGTGGACAGCAAGCAGATTATTCAGCGCAATGGATTGAGTATTACAAGTGAGTATTGTGCCTTTAGCTCAGTATTAGTATTATCCCTTACGATTTTAGCTTTTAGACATATATTTATATATATATTTTTTTTTTTTATAAATATAGATCAATGGGTTTAATGCGAGAAGCTGAAATGATTGAACAACAGCTGAAGGCAAAACAAGCTGGTAAGTAGTAAGAGACTATCATCTATGTATATTTAACTTTTGCTTTAGCTGGTTTCTTATATTAATCTGGCAAAAGTTCACTTCCCATTATCTGTAGATTGAGTGCCCTTCTTGCACGCTTCTAAGTTGCAGTATGTGTCAGATTTCCTGTGTTTGTTTTCTGTTCTTTTTTTTTTTTTTTTGTTTACGCATTTTCCTTTTTAAAATCCAACAATTTGATGTTATATTTTGCATTTCTAACATTAAGGTGCAAGTGCTGGCCAACAAATGGGTGGCATGCCACAACAACAGCAACAGGCTCAACCACAGCAACAACAACAACAACAGCAGCAGCAACAACAACAGCAACAACATCAATCTCAACAAGGTGGCGGTGGAGCGGATTATAGTGCTCAATGGGCTGAGTATTATCGCAGTATAGGCAAAATAGCCGAAGCGGAAGCCATCGAGAAAAATATGAAGGTGAGTTTTTGTTTGATTTTTTTCTTAACATGATTTCTCCATGCACAAATACTAACATACAATAAACTTTTCAACCTCAGCAAGGTCAAAATGGTCAAGCAAATGCAGCTGGAGGTGGTGGTGGCGCTAACAATTCAGCAGCTGGCGGTAATGCTAATAGTGTCGCAAATAGTAACGCCGGTGCGCCAAATAATGCCGCTGACGGTGGTGGTAATAATGCAGCAATGCAAGGTATGACACCAAGTCAATATGCGCAGTATTCGCAATATTACGCCGCTCAAGCAAGTCAGGCGGCAGGTGGCGCTGCACCCGGCTATCCACAACAAGCGGCTTATGGGGGCTATGGCGCACCTGGAGGTGGTTATCCAGGAGCGCCACAGCCCAACATGACGCCCGGTAATATGGGTGGCGGTCCAAATGCCGCCAATCAGAATAAGCAGAACAAAGGCGATAAAAATTAATTTAAATAGTCAAAAATTAATAATAATAATACCTAAAAAATAAACAAAAAATACAATATACCACATATGAGTGTGTAGCGGAGTGACAGCGGTGACGGTGTGACTGATTTAAATGTGTAGCAGAGAAATGTGTGGCGCTTATGTGTGCTGCGATTGCAGGCAAACAGTGGTGAGTGATAATTTTGCTGCTTATATTTTTCCAAAAATACAAACAAATTTTCAATTGCTTTAAAATATACGGATGCTAGATTAAAAAAAATTATAAAAAATAATAGCTATTTTCACTATAATTATTATACAAATTCATCATGGTTTATCGTATTTCATGAAACTCTACATTTTAATGACTTATATATACATACATATATATATATATATATATAAATATTTATGATTGATTGATAAATTGAATAATTCCTTTACACTTTACTATTTTTGGTAGATTGCGCCTTATATTACAATTGACAACCAATTTACAATTTTGTATAAATTTTCCTTTTATTTGACACGTTTTTGCTCACCATTTACAATTTTCTTTACAATTATTTTACTTTTCATTATGCGATTACTATCCTTTTTTCTTTACATAAATATATACATGCATACATACGTATTTAATATATAGAGCTCTTTATAACGAAATATATTCCAACATAAAACATTTTTTGCAGAGGTCACAAATGTCTCAATTACTACTACTTCTACTACTACTACTATTACTACTACTACTACTACTACTACATACTACTACTACTCCTTATCACTCACAGTATCTGTGAAAATGTGTTGGCGTGTGCGAGATGGTTTAAAATTTAATATTTAAACATATACTTACGTATATTTTTAGTTTGTAAGCATAATTTATAGGAACATCTGCACGAAAAAAGGCAAAATAATCGATTGAGTTCAACGGCAATTACATGTTTTGTAGATATAATAACTATAAAATAATAATAATAATAATAACAAAACATACATATGAGATTTGTGTGCATAATTTGTCATAATAAATGACAAATATTAAATATATATATGTATATACATATACATATATATATAAATTTGAAACCTTCGATAATAATTAATTAGTATTGGTTTTTTATTTGTTTGCTATAGAAAAAAATACGAAGCAGTTGAAAAATTCAAAGGCAATGCCTAAAATGCAATTTCATGCTGCTTAAATTATTTAAATGAAAAAAAAAAACCAAACCAAATTTATGTAAACGAAGAATTAAAGCAAACTAAATAATAGTAAAATGTAAACGTTATGTGTGTTTCGTGCAAAATTAAAATATAATAATATATATTTTGAAGTAAAAATGTTAAAAATGTATTTGAAAAAAAAAAAAATAATAATAATAATAATAATAATAATCTCAAGGAAAGTGTTCAATCGTAGACAAATTGAAACTTTTAATAAACACGATTCTAGCTAATTGAAAATTTTCATAGTAACGGTTTAGTGTTTTATTAACTAACGCTCATACTCTTTCCCGAAAGTAAATTATAAAAAAAAAATTAGAATAAAAATTATGCAACTAAATTAATTTCTGCTTCACAAGTACAGTCAAAAAATAAAAATCAATAAAAAATGACATTAATAATATACGCGCGTAAGAAAAAAAAATATCATCCTTAACTATTTAACTTTTCATAGTAACATTAAAATAAAATATATAATAAGATTTTACGTACATATATACTTGCTATATACAAAATACTTGAATATTATTCCCGAAAAAAAAAAATAAAAAATAAACGAAAACCGAGTTCTAATGTTCTTCCAACTTTCAATGCAAACATTATTACAACAACAACAGAGATTGAGCACAACAGAGAGAGAGAGAGAGAGAGTACGCATTCCATACACTATGAAGACGTTGCAAACAGTTGGCTACAATTATAACGGATCGTCTTCAAGTTGCAGAAATGTGCTTACATATATATAAGATAACACGTTCAGTGTATGCTGTGCCATTCACCCAGCTATTGCTTCATATGTGCATACATATACAACGCATCAATCGAAATTCCTATCCGTATCGTAAGAACAATGAAGAAGAAACCGTTAAAAGAAAGAAAAAGAAAAAAACAACACACAAGTACACCAAACTATTAGGTGTGGTAAGCTTTGTTCGTATTGTAATTCAATTTTTATTGATAACTTTATATACAAACATATAACTACATACCAAACTATACTAAATGCATATATACATACATACATACATACATACAAACATATATATTATATATTACATGCATATAAAGTTATATAAAATTTGTCATAGTATGTGTTTATTACATAAAAAAAAAAAAATAATGATAATATAAATAATTACAACAAACCAACCAGCTAATATGCAAATTTACATATATTACATATATAAATTGTTTATAAATAATATTTTTTTTTTATCAATGATGATGATGGCCTAAATGAAAAACATTTCCTTGTCGATGGTCATTATCAAATATTTTGCAAATGAAATATGTCGTATGTTAATTTATATAAATATACATATATTTGAAACATGTGTATGTAATAACTTTATATACTTACCATATATACATACATACATTTATAAAAATTATAAATATTTCATTTTATTAAAATGTCGATTTATTATAATTACATGTTACACATATATTTAAATATGTGTGCATACGTACATATGTATACATAATATATGCATTACAAATTCGTATAACAATTCAATTAATTAGCCTTAACTGCTGAAAATTACTTTATATGTACCATAGCCACGTTTATTTGAGTGAAATGATGTGTGTGGAAAAAATCAAAATGGCAACAAAACAAAATATATATTATATATATAATACTACAATAGCAGCAACATCATGTTATATTCAGCATGTTTACATACTACGCACTGCGTATGCATACAATATACATGTACTGGTCGCAATGAACGTAGCAGTGACTCTCGCCTTTGTGTGGAAATCATTATTTATATATGAATTTTTATTTATTTTTTTTTTATATAATATAATTTGTTATAAAATTTTAACTATTTTTTTATAAAATTCGATTTTGTTTTATTTTGTAAAATTTGATTTTTTTATATAAAATTTAATTTTTTTATATATAAAATTTATTTTTTTTATATATAAAATTTATTTTTTTTGTATATAAAATTAAATTTTTTTGTATATAAAATTAAATTTTTTTATATAAAGTTTATTTTTTTATACATAAAATTTAATTTTTTTTATATAAAATTAATTTTTTTTTCATAAAATTAATATTTTTTATAAAATTCAATTTGTTCTTTATTTTATAATTCCATTTTTTTTTTATAAAATTCAATTTCTTTTTTTTTTTTTTTAAATTTGATTTTTTTATCAAAATTTAGTTTTTTTTTTAATAAATTCAGTTTGTTTATTTTCTTTTTTTATAAAATTCAATCTTTTTTTTTTTTTGTAAAATTTGATTTTTTTAATAAAATTTAATTTTTTTTACTTAAATTTTGTTTTTTTTTTTAATAAATTCAGTTTGTTTATTTTTTTTTTTTTTTTTGTAAAATTTGATATTTTATATTTAATTTTTTTTATAAAATTTAATTCTTATTTATAAAAATTAAAATATTTTTTTATGAAATTCAATTGGTTTTTCTTTTTATAAAATTCGTTTTGTTTTATTTATTTGTAAAATTTGGTTTTTATATTTAAAATTTAATTTTTTTTCATATAAAATTTTTTTTTTATAAAATTTAATTTTATTATGAAATTAATTCTTTTATAAAATTTATTTTTTTTTTATAAAATTTATTTTTTTTTATAAAATTTAATTTTCATGTATAAAATTTTAATTTTTTTTTTCACATAAATTTTTTTTTTTTATAAAATTAAATATTTTTAATTTGTTTTTTTTTATATGTAAGATTTATTTTTTTTTTTTATATAAAAACTAATTTTTTTTGTGCGTGTAGCGTATACATTTGTGCCTTTATATTTACATACATAAATTTATTGAATTTTCCAAACCATATTTTGCAATGATTATAAATATTTCATTTAATTTTCCCAACTTTATAGTGCATACAAATATTATAGTAATATTAAATATTTTGTTAATTTATAATTTCAGTTAATAAATATTTTTGTTATATTCACCACAGCACATGCGAAATGCTGCAGTTTGTAAACAGCTCTACAATGGGTATAAATGTTTGACTTTTCGTATGTTTTTTTTTATATTTAAAATGTTTTATAGGAAACATTAATGTGTCTCGTATGTCTGTAAATGCTATAAAATATTTCAGTTAATAACTTTAATTTTAAAATATTACAGTCAAATGGGTCATTTTGGAGTTTTCTTAGGCTGGATGTTATAATATGGCATTGTATGCTACAATTATTTGAAATTTCTTCCTGGTTAACAATACTTGATGGTAGTTTATCAACGCTTTCTATTTTACAGTCAGTTTTAAACTGATTATTTTCGCTAAAAATTACTTAGATTCGCCGTACGCTTAGCAGGTGCAAAATTATTATTTTTGAAGTCTTCCATTAAGTTTTTTAAAGCTCAGTTAGCTAGCAGCAGGCCACTCATATAAATAAACCGAGCTTCAGCACATTTTACTTTATTTTTTCTTATATTTTCTAGTTTTTGTCGTTTCAAAAAAATTTATTGAATTTCAATGATTTTTTTTTTTTTATAAATTCTTTAAGTTCACTGTAAGCATAAATATTATTGATTTTGCAATTTTTTTTTTAATTTTTCTTATATATATATATATATTTTTTTTTTTTTTAATTTTTCTTTCGTATATTTTTTTTGCAGGGATTAAAAGCGATATAAAAAAATTTTTTTCAATGATTTCACAAACGCAGCATAAATATTATTGATTTTGCATATTTTTAATTTCTCTTGTTTATGTATTATTAGACATTTATTTTTCGTAGTCGATACAAAAAAAATTGAATTTCAAATATTTTATAAACCCCTAGCATAAATATTATTGAATAATATATTTTTTTTTAAGGAGAAAAAGGCGTTCCAAAAAAATTAATTGAAATTAAATGATTTTTTATGAAATCTTTTTAGCAGAATTAGCCTTTTTTTCAATATTCCTATCAAAACATAACCATTTACTTGCTAAAAAAAAAAATCAGTGAAATATTTTACTAATTTCGCCCTCCAAAAAAATAACTTAGGGCAACATTTCTTTGAAAAACTGTTTTTAATCATCAAATTATGTATACATACATCAATAGTACAGCTGTCATTAATATTTACTTTATATATATCTTGTTTTTTTTTTATATGTACATAACTGAGCAGTCAACCAAGTATGGTTTTTCTCCCCATCCTCAACACCACCGGCACCGATTGTTTGTACACGCGTACCTTCAAAGATCGGTTTGGAGCATTTGGTCCCCCCCAAAAAAAAAAAATTTAAAAATAAAGCGAAACAAAACATATAGCTAAAACATAGTAAAGCACACGGTAGGAAAGAATAAAATGAATGAAAAAATAACGGTTTATGTACAGATTTTTTGGTAAGATATATACATACATTATATTGATTGACTTTGGATTTTGATATACATAATGCTGATAAATAATATATAAAATTTTTAATAATTTATGCAACTTTTCATATACCAATTGTTTGATATATCCAAAAAATAAAAAATAAAAAATATATTAAAATTACCTACAACAATTTTAATGTATATATATATTCATTTATATATATGTATATGTAAACCATAATGTTTCGCTATTTAACTCTTACCATTAACTGCGTAAATTGCTCTATATCTATATATATATATATATATATATATAATATATATCTTTTAAAATATATGTAACTAAATTGTTTATATAAACATTTTTACACACGCATATTACATATGTGTGTGCGTCTGTGTGTGTGGGCGTGTACGCGTGCGTTACCAAAAACAATCTAAATATTCAAAAACCAATTTTTCGATTTATCTCTTTCATACGTATGTACTATATACATAAACAATTCTATAAAAATGTTTGTTCAACTTTATATTGGTTGTTGTTGTTGTTGTTTCATATAAGCATCTACCTACATATACATCTATTTGCAGTGCAACAATTTCGTAGCAGTGCTCAGATTCACGAGACAGCCAACAAACAATTCATAACTACTCTACTATATATATACTACTATTAGTATTCAAGTAGCGCACTTAATGTCGTCTGCAACTGCATACCGTCAATGAATGAAAGAAAGAAAGAAAGAAAGAAAGACAGAAAAATAACCAAACTTCCAACCAAACTACTACTAGGTACTACATACTACTACTGCTTCTTAAACTCTAAACGTACGTACAATTTCCAATAGCAGTAAAAATTTATTTCCCAAAAATTTATATATATACATACGTATATACATATATGGTAAGCTGCTCTACTACATATTTACATGCAATATATCTATAAAAAAAAT